GCCGCCTGCTCCGCCTTTTCACCTTGGTCGTAGTGGTACTGAAGAATGTATCGAATTTTCTCTTTTTTTACCTCCATTTTGGAATGCTGTAACACACAACTGGCTTGACCAAACACAAAACTGTCACAGAACTTTTTTTGAAGCGTAATGTCACCTTTAAATCGCCGTATAGTATGACCCGATGCGATGTATACATCGTGAGATATGGCTCACTAAAGACATTTAGCGGAAAACGCTCAGAACTTTTTACTTCACCTAATATTTTTCTCTCTTATACATGTACACGCGCACTCGCATACGGCCACGTACCTATACCCCCATACTCAAAGACGCACACACGCATACACAACTCATTACAGCTTGGAAAGTAAATCTCGAAAATTAAGAAAGATATGAAAAAGTTTCCAACAAAAAAAACTGTGGGATATCGAGGGAAAAAAATAATGACATTTATTTGACCTTAGAATGACGTTGAAAATTTCTATCAACTTTAATTTTTTAAATGGAATTATATGGTTTTTTTCGGCATAAATCGATTCTCTCATCGAATGGAATTATACAAAAATTAATGTTTCTATAAAAAAATATTTAATTTGTAAAATAACACACTTAAAAATGTTAATAAGAAATATTGTTGTTTAAACTTCTATTTTTTACAAAAAACGTCATATCAGGTAGTTAGGCCAAGTGAAAATAATTCACGCGTTTTTTTACATGAATAGAATTATATAAAAGCAAATATGTTCATATATGAAATATTTCATATACATACTTTCAGAAAACATAAGTCTAAAGACATAAATCTTAAAACATAATATTATTTAAATTTCTATTTTCTACAAAAGGGATGTTAAAAGATAATTAGGTAAAGCGAAAATACCATTGCGTCTATAATAGTTTTGTGTATGTTTACTCATATGTTTACTTACATGTTTACTTACATGTTTTGTGTATGTGGTAACTATTGACTTCTTTTTATTGGTAACCATGTACAAATTAAGATAAAATAAAATTAAGAGTTACACAAAAAACACTTGGCGTGCCCGTGTCGCAATAAGGTACATTGAATTTTACAAATTGATATACAAAATACTATTTAGAAAATATATTTAAATTATTTTTATACCCGGGCATGCCAAGTATTTTTTGTGTGACTTTTAATTTTATCGTAAAATTTGATCGTAAAATTTTGCTATTTCGGACTTTCCACTAAAATATCTTCTCTCATGAACATGTAGGACAAATATGTAGAACAAATATAAAGATAGATTTATTAAGCAAATCGAACCCAAGGAATTGATGGAGCCTATCCAGAAATTCGTCCGATTAGTCGTTATAGCCAAACGAGAAATCTTGCCTGCGCTGAACTAGTTGGTAAGTTATACGCGGCCGGTCTCACGCGATTCCTTGCTTCGCACGTTCACTTGGCGCGAGACGCTACCACGTCTCTTGATATGAAATGGGATAAAATCTGCGTATTGGAATAAAATCATCGAAAATTGAATGCTTTCCGAGATATTTTACATTTTATTCTACCATTGTTCAATACAAGATATAAGATATTTCGTAAATTACTCATTTTTCGGCCACCTCATCTCAATACTTTTTTTACGTAAAATAACGAGAAAAATTGGTTAATGATATTAATCTTTGTACACTAGTGCAACAAATTTTTAAAATGCACAAAATTTTATTTAAAGTTCCTGTGTGTTTTTTTTTACAGTAACTGATTTTACCGGTCATATGCTATGTTACCGGCTACGTACAAAAATATTAAGATGAAGTGATCAGAAAGTTTTTACAAAATATTAGATAAGAAAGTAATTTACAAAATATTTTATATCTTGTATTGAAAGTAACAGAATAAAAATATAAAATAACGCAGAAAGCATTCACTTTTTGGTAATTTTATTCCAGTACTTTTGTACGCAAAATCACTAGAGGAATTGGTTTATATCGAAAAAACCTTATAATTCCATTTAAAAAATCAAAGTTGATCTGAACAACGCTTTTCAAAATCATTCCAAGGTCAAATAAATATTACTCTTTTTTTTCTTCCGATATCCTACAACTTTTGTTGGAAAAACTTTTTCATATCTTTTTTCATTCTGAGGTATCGAGCTGTGAAGAGTTATATGGGCTATCCTATATACATATACAGGAAGTTCCAAATTCTCCTCCGCAATTTTTGTGGAGACGTAGAACGGATTGACGTAAACATAAAAGTCCTATAGCGTTTTGCGATATTTGCAATAATAGCCGAGATATTAATTAAAGAAGAGTAGTGAATGATATGCGCTATGTGGTAGATAAGCTGGAGTAGCGATGTATGCTGTAGTGTGCTTGTACATTAGGTCAAACTGAACAAAAAAGTCCTTTATCATTTTGCAAATAACCACATTAAATTTTCAGTTATCAATGAAAGAAAATTGTTATATGATTGTGCGCGATAATACACAAATCTTCTTTAATTTATCTCAATTCGTCCTCCTTTTACGGAGAAAAGTGGACATACCTGTATGGATATATGTCTATACATACCACACACATGCGCGCGCACATACACACACAATTAGATAGCTAGTGTGTGTGCGTATGTGTGTGCATACGTATGTGCGTGTGTGGGTGCGTATATATATTAGATAGTAAAATCCAAATAATATATAAAAAATCTTAAAACTTGAAATATGTTTTTATTCTAATAAATAATGATATTTACATCATATATTGTATTGAAAATTTATAGTATATATTATTCTCGGAACCACTAAAAAAAATTGTTTACATTTTATGAGTATTACATAATTCATATTCAATTAATTTTTATGAACATGCAGTTATTTATTATTTTTAATTAAATAATTCAAAAAGTTCGCGTCCTCTTATATCAACTTTATCAAACATATAAATTTATTCATGGTGATGGTAGAATAAAACACTTGCTTAATGATGTCAATTCATGCTTAATGATATCAATTCATTAATGTGACTTATGGTTGCTGGTATCTATTTGGTGATATTTTTATACTGCTCATAGGACTCTCTTGGCTTGACTCTAGAACAGCTAGATGCACAACAACACTGGGTTAGTACAAAAATATTACTTTCCATAATATAGTATTTCAGTTGATGCATTATATATCAAATAAAATTGTTATATGCATCTTTCATAAAAGATAATATACTAATGATTTTCTATAAAATATATTTTTTAATATTCAAAACTTCATATATTTTATTTTTTTTTATATATTTCTATTCTACAATATTTTATTATTATATTTCTTATGTTTTTCAAGTACTTTGTTGTGTCAAAAGACCATAAGATGTTACTTTTATTCATACTTAATTATTCATAATTTTTGAAATACAACGTTACGTTATAATTGTTTTAAACGATGTGTAATATTTTGAAACTGTTAAAATTTATACAAACTATATCTACTGAAATACTAATATTTATTGATGTAATTCATATATAATTTCTTAGTAGACTTGTATGTTATGAGTTATAAATCACAAATGTGTTTATTATCTTATCAGTGTGTTGTTATCTTATCACGTGATTGTTATCATATGACTTGATATCATAAGGAATACTTATTGATAAATATATATTTTTTAAGATTATATGGTTTGTAATTCGTAACATATACTGAAGTTTACGTTGTTATTACTTTGCTTATTGTAGCTAATATTTATATTTTTATTATAATTTGAAATGCTTCCATTTTATGTAATTTGTAACGTACACTGAAATGTTGTTATTACTTTGTTTGTTGTAGTTATTATTTATGCTTTCATTATAATTTGAAATGCATTCATTTTAATTTATGCGTTCATTATAATGTTTACCATTGCGCTAGCACTTTCGCACGCGTTCGAATTCTTGATAGTGCACGACACTCGCGATCGCATAAGTCAGAGAATAATGTTTATTAAAAGGGGAACGTTTAATGTTACTATTTACAAATTCCCTCTATTGTTCGCTATTAAATCTTATTATTTTAGTTGCATGCTTTATTTGCTCGCCCGTGTGTGTGTGTCTCTTCTCTTCTTCTGTTTATTATTCATTATCAGAGAATATTTCTTCTATGATCTTGACGTATCGAACCGATCTATTAATTCATTCAAGCCAATCAATTTACGAGTGCGAATGCGGACGCAACACGGTATTAATAAAATATGTTCTGTTCATATATCTATACAATACACACAGTACACTAATTAACATTTGCATGCTTTCATCTGTTTTTCTTTTTGTTTCTTTTCTTAAGTTATAGCTCGGTATTAATATCTCTATTTAGTAATGAAATCACGCGATGTATGATTTCATGTTTTCTTACATGCTGACAAGCAGTTCAGTTAATTACATAGATCACTATTGTACATTGGAAGATCTATCCCGTAAACTGACAAGAAGAAGATACCGCTGATACTTTCCACCAATTTTGATCTAATTGTGTACGATAAAAGTATCGCAAATAAGCAAATATGTGTATGAACTTTTATACGAATGCGCCTTGTTAACAGCATTTTTTTATACTTAAAATTATAGATATTCTATAATATATTATATAAGTCGAATAAAATTATTGTATTAAACAGCAGTGCATAACAGTGGGTAAAGCTAGTAATACTGCGTTCCCACGTTCGATCCGGTTTCCATTCTTTCTTATAAATTATATTTATTATATATGTTAATGTATAAAGGTCAATACATATTTTTATTTATACATTAAAACAATACTTTTTTATATGAATATAATTAATTGATATACGAATACATATATAATATATTATTTAATACAAACATATAAATATTTTATTATTTTTATTTACTATTATTTTTTTACGTCTTCTGTATAATATTACAATTCGTTAGATGATAATAAATTTCGAACTTCGATGCTGTAAAAAATATGTTTTCATACATTTCTGTTAGAAAACTCTATCTCAATAAGAGTCCATTGTAAGAAAATATTAACAATAAGTAAAGACTAACATCTTTTCTATTAAATTTCAAAAAAAGCCCTTACATGTATTCGTACTTAGTTCGTCACATTTTTGTGAGAAAGTATTGTTTTATGTATAAATAAGAATATGTAATATTCTACCTTATAAACATTAACATAATAAATATAGGTTGTAAAAATTGAAACCGAGGGATCGAATGTAGGAACGCCGTATTACTAACCAGGCGCTCTATTTGCTATGCTATACGGTACTATTGAATACGATAATTTTGTTTTGATTTATATGGTACACACTATAGAATACCTGCATTTTCAAGTATGAAAAAATGCTATTAGCAAGGCGCATTCGAATAAAAGTCTACGTATCCGCTCATTTTTGTTGTATACAATCGTACGCAATTGATGGAGAAACAGCAGTATCCTCCTCTTATAAGTTACAGATCAATATACATGTCAAAAGACATGAAATTGTGTATCGTGTGTTTCTAGCTTAGCTATCTATAATTCATGCATATGTTATATATGTAATATTCGACAGATATATTTATTATCAAACATTTAATGTCTAACCTCTTTGGTACGAGCGTCAATTATGATCGATTGTCGTCAAGTACTCACTTTAGTCAAGTTGAAATCAACATATATATTTTCGCGTTATTAATAATTATTTTTTCTTATTTGTATGCAAGTTAATAATAACTTCGCCAAAAGAAGTGTACAAAAATGTTTTGTGAAACCGTAGCATGGTGGGATTTTTTATGAACGTACATCAGTGAAAGGTTTATGTGATTAATGCATATGTTTGAACGATATATACTTGATTTTAAGACATTTTGAACACTTTTTTTGGATGTAGTTCGAAATGCAACCGATAGTTTAATGAGAAAACTTCTGAGAATGAATAAAAAACAAGTTCTTAGATTATTAGCCACATTCTAAGCTGCATTGAGAAAAGTATTCAAACGATTTTAAAACTAATGCTGCAATTCTAAGCAAATATACAAGTAAATCGTAAAATCGTGAAGTCGTAAGTTACGTATCAATCGTCTACTCATAAGTTCTTATGAGTCTTACGAGAATAAGTTATGAGCTTTACGATTTTGTATAGAATTGCAGTATAACTATATGTATTTTAATAGTTTCTACGTCTACCAGAAATTCTTTGAACACACACGCGCATACACATGCGCACGCGCGCACACTCACATACACACATACACAGGCGCGCAGATGCGCGCGCGTTTAGAATGCTGCTTAGAAGGATTATATTTCAGAAAGACTTACGGACATATGTTTGTTAGGATTATTATCTTACAAGAGGATCGCACGTACCTGATATCACGGATTTTGATGATATTTTTTTTAGTTATTCTACAACACTAATGTACATTCTGTGCAACAGGATTTTTATCAACACCTTTTCGTTTCGGAGAAAAAAATTTATGAGCCCCTTATAGGCCAAGCGTGATAAAATTTACAAGCATTTCAATAGCCGCGGTTAAGGCTCCTGGCCTCTCGCCGCGGCCATATTGATTTTATGACGTCAGAAACAAGAAACGGCACGTAAAGAATTCTTGCGTGCCATATCTAAATAAAAAGATATTCTTGACAAACATCACTCGAAATCACTTCAACATACTTGTAAAAAGTTCCGCGTTCTCACCTTTTCCTTAGGCATTCCATACAAAGTCATAAAATAAGCAGTGAAATGAGGCTTGTTCACGGCGAGAAAACGTGTGGTCTAACAGCTGATCAAACGAGTGTAACTTATGTTTCACGTATTGTATTTCATGAAAAGCCGAGAACTCGGAATATTTTACAGGTTCGCACAATATGTGTAATGTCACAAAAGTCCACTAGAGCAAATAATATAACCGCATTTCGCAAAAAAAAATTTGGCTGTCAACAACAGTTACGCCAAGTATACAGGGTTGGCCAAAAGTCCGGAAACGGTCAAATATCTCGAAAAGGATCAACTGTAGCGAAAAATATGTAAGTAACAAAGTTGTAGGGCTTAATAAAATATACCTAATGATGGTTAAAAATTTTACTTTGG